GGAGGATGTAGGTGTTTCTGAATTTATTTCAGTTTCTCTGGGTATCTTCACATCCGTCAATGCACCAAAGGTAAACATGACAGAAGTGATTTATATCACTTGTATCAGTGATTGCTCCCTTGTTTTTAAAACCCTTCATTTATTTTGTTCTATATAAAAAATCAGCCGAGACAACTTGTTCACTTTGCATTTCTATACTGCTAATTCACAATGTGCAACACACCCCACCCAGACACTAACTGTGTGTGAACAAAACCTCCATTCAGCACACAAAAAAAGAAAGAAACAGCAAATACTGGACTGCACTCCACAGTATTCCCAGCTTTTTCCCCTAAGAGAACTGAACAAGGAACATAATATTTGAAAAACTGTGATGTGGAACATTTGGACTGGCTCTTGTAACTGTCAAATCTCACAAAAACAGGATTTTTTTTGTAAATTAGCAAAAAGGACTAAATAAGAAACACCACTGTGCCACTTCTGAATAAGAAATCTTYCAAAATTTGTGAAATCCATAAAACTTGACATGTTGAAGCAGTTTAAGTCCTCAAAGAACCAACTCGATAGTAAATAGTGAAAAAAAAAGGTTTTAATGTTTCTATTATTTAGTGCAGACAGTCTATATTATTTAAAAGAGAAGAGTTTTTTGATGATTATGTTCATTATATGATGTAGTATCAGCTGGTTGCTTTAACGGTGGACCCATCCCTTCATTGCTGTCTTTGTAGATAAAATATACCAGACTGGCACTTGACAACAAAAAATACACTTGGGAATATTACAGGAGAGTATTAATTTCCTGATTCATAACACTGGCACCTTGAATCACTGATACAGATAACAATTCTTATAAAATAATATTCTAGTCAATGACTAGACAAGCTGTTAAGATGTCACCAAACCCAGAGCTGCATTAACACAGTTGCTTATCTCAGGTATATTAGAACAGACTGTAATGAATCCTGCCATTTTAAAGCAGTGCAGTTGTTAAAGATGTCACATCAAAGCGAAAAGGTTCACCTCCCGGCCTTTCTGTGTCTTTTCTTTCTGAATGACTGGGTTTTCTCTCACAAAACAAAATAATGCATGTTAGGTTATTTGGTAACTCATACTTGTTCAAATGTGTTGAATGAGAGCGTGGATGGTGGTTTATGTTGTGGCCCTGTGATGGACATGTGACCAGTCCAGACCATGCTCCACCTCTCGCACTGTGCCCCCAAAAAAAGGATGGATGGAAGAATGAGTTTAAAATAGCCAGTGAGTTTGCTGATGCAAAACAAGTTAACCACATAGGAACTGTGATGGCTGCTACAACAAAGCCATTGGCAGAGTTAATAAAACTGTCACTGTTACTTTCATGTTTTCATGTTTAAAATCATCCTAAATCAAAATGACAGACTTCCAATATGCAAATTATCATCTCTGCAAAAATTCTTTTTTTTTTTTTTCATTTTGTAGAATCGAAAAAAAAAGGAGAGAGAATCAAAGAGCAGACAAGAAGGTCATTTTTCATTTCCCATCTAGATGGTAAATGTCCCTTTGATTTGCAGGAGAAAAAAAGCTTGAATCATCATGTCAGGATTTCCGAGTTTCTAAAAATGACCTCTCTCAAAAAAAAAAAAGATGTGAGAATAGCAAATGTAGCCTTCAGAGGAGCGGTCACAGATGTTTAATTGTCGTCAAATTAAGCAGATCCTTGTTAATTCGAGGACATTATTAAAACACGTTTTGTGCTTCATTTCATCAACAAATTAAGAAGATTACACTGGTTCCTCTGTGATCTGTCACTGATCATGAAAACAAATACTTTTTGAATCAAACCATTTGCTGTTTTTCAAAGTGTGTAACCTCTGGGCTTCTTCTGCCGATTAACACCGGTCAGCGCTGATGGCTCTTTGCCGTCCAAAATTGATGTAAAAGTTCACTTGCCGTCCTCCATCAGCAGTGCCTGCTTCCTCTTTATTAAAGGGCTAAAAGCTGTGTGCCTGTGTGAGTTCCAGTTGTCAACACAGCAGAAAAAAAAACATGATAAACAACATTGCAGAAGGTCATGTTAGGAAGTGTGGGTTGCGGAGTGGGAATGGAGGGGAGGTGGAGAGATTGAGTGTCTCGTGGAAAAGCCATCAGCTGCTCCCACCACACTCACCCCTCCCATTTTCAGCTCAGTGCACACTTTAGCAGAATTATTGATGGTGCTTGTGAGACACGCGGGACGGCGATGAAGATGTCTCAATCCCTGGGCCACAAAACAAGAGCTACGGCAAAGCGCGGGGGTAGCTGTGAGATCAACTCAGGCAGTATTTAGTGTTGTGTTTGATATAATTGTGAGGGGGTGACAAGACAAGAGGAATGTAAATACCCTCATATGCAGCATTGAGGAATGACGAATGAATCAACTGTGCAAATAACACACTTTTAGAAGATAAAACAGGTGAAGAAAAATATATAGGCGACCATAAAAATATACTATAAAACTGAGCTGTCATATTCAACAGGTTTAAATCAGCATACATATAAGATCATATAATGTAAGAACTATCTAAATAACATTTTGGACAATACCATACCATACATACATTAGGGCAAAAACATTATTGCCCATCATCACTTTTTTAGTGTCTGAAGTTCAAAATGCAGACTTTTAACCTAACCTTCATGCAAAAAGTGACTTCAATACATCAAATGTCTTCATCTGGAAATAAGGTTTAAAAAGTCCAGTGAAGACCGTGGTTTTATTACTAACATTTAATTACCTAATTGTGGCCAGAGTGTGGCAAAATAAGTTGAAAGCAATGTCCTGTTTCCTTCGTTTCATCATGCTTACAGTACCTTACGTTCCCTTCAAGTGATAACTGCTTTCTTTTCCACGTTTTTAGGATGTGTGGCACATCATTAAGTGAAGCTACCGTTTCTTTTATTTCTTTCTTTCTTCTTTTATTTTTTTACAGAAAACAAAGACTGCAAGTTTGTTTCTTCTGGGTTTTGATGTTCTGCTTTTATATTTTTTTATCCAAACAAGACTGAAGTTAAAGTCTTTTAGAAGACATCTTGATTAAAGCGAGTCGTGGCTTGCTCTTCCGTTTAAATTCAAGAGTTTTATGCACGGAGCAGGTTTTTCTTTATTTTTTTAATCATTAGTTTGTAGAAGTGACTTTCAATCAACTGCATGAGGACTGAACTCACAAACGCATCATTCCTACTGATGTTTATTCATGAATTGAGCAAGGACAGACAAGCAATATGGCTGATGTCCTGCTTGATAAACAACAGTCACTGAGAATGTTTTTGTGATCGTTGTCAGAATGAGATCATTATCCAAGGACGACTTTCATTTTTAATATGCTCTTATCATAAAACCTAACTAATTAAAACTTTATTGGACACATGGAGAAGCTTACAAGTCTCTGTTAGCTTGTTGTTGTTTTATTCTGCTGCACTTACATAAAACCTGAGCAATGAAGTGACTAAGGTTTAGTTTGGCCAACAGAAAACATTTGATTGAAGTATTTACCTGTATTCATAATGCATTTTAAAACATATTATGCTTATAAACAGTGTATAGTTACCCTCATTACTATTTTTTAAATTGGTCTCTGTCTCATTATAAAATGGTTGTATTAACACCATTTAAAATGTCTTCAATTTTTTCTAGTTTTTCTTAGTATTATTCACATTTATACAAGATATTGTCTATGTTAGTTTTTACCATGTATAATCAGTAAATGTAAAGTACTATGCTGTTTTCACTTTATTTTGCAACAACTGTTCTTACGTTGCCCTCTAGAGGCACAAAACAGCAACCCAAAACTGCACACTGTGCTCCACATTAAAACATTCCTGGTTCACACAGAATGGAAATGATGATTTCTTGGACTCTGAGTAACTTATTCCTCCTAAACATATTCGCATGGGTGTTGCAGTAATGTAATTTAAGAAGAAAAAAAAAGGTATTAAGGAAATACTGACAGGAGAAAATGCTTAGTCTTTCCAAACAAACTGAAGTAGAATCTTTCCGTTTGATCTCCCAGCACCTCCCAGTCTGGGAGTTATCACTGGATCCTGAGTGAGTCTCCTGACAAACAGGTGAGTCACTGTGATAACAGGAGCTTGTATCATAGATAAGAAGACTGCCTTTTATGCTTTGAAATGACAGCTTGTGAAGTGTCAGACACTGACTTTTCCTTTTCTTTTTTATTATTTTTTAGAGCAAGTTTGTAAACTCTTACTGCAAGGTACTCTGGGCAGCAGGTTTCTCTGTCATGAATAAAGTACAAAAGTGTTAACCACATACTCACTGAACTTCTCACTAATAGCCATTCATATAAAATTATCAACTTTTTGGGAAAAAAAAAATCAGGCTTGACTTTTTAAACTGTATCTAATGTTAACAGCATTTCTAGTAAATACTGCTACAGCACAGAAAGGGAGCATTCAGCAATTACATAAAAAAGGAACCTTTATTTTCCAGAAGTGGTGTCTGACTTAGGTCAGCTGTTCGGCCCACTCATTGTTATAATTAGACAGTTATTTTTACATTAAAATATGATGTATTTTAGTATAATATGGATTTTCAACATAAACAGAAAAAACAGAAAAAGGGCAAAGTTTTGATTTGATCAGAACATTAAAAAGTCTTCATCAAATGTCTCAAATAATGTGAATAAACTGCAACAAAATAATAATAATAAAACAACATATGTATATGAGAATACTTGTGTTTCAATAAGAAATATATTATGAATGAAGCAGAAAACAAAAAAAATAGATTGAAACAAATTTGAAAATAGAAAGAACGCATGTTATGTTACAATGCAGAGATTTTTTTAGATTAAACTGTGACAGTAATCCACTTACTATAAATGTGATCCAACTATAGTTGGATTTCTCATCGCGATTCTTTTCTAGTCCTGCTGAAACCACAGTAAAATGTATCCAGTTATTTCACAACTGCTGGGTCTACCTCTTTAAATTTACCAGACATCAGCATGCAGCTCCTAGCAGTTACTAATAATACATGAGACAACAGGAAGCAGTGTGACCAGCAGTCAGAAGAATCACACGCCCAGTGGCACAACTTCCTGCTTCTGGGTTTCTGTGCAAGTTCTGTAGTTTTTCATTTCATTTTTTTTTTTTTTTTTTGAAACAGAGTTATGGCCGAGAGGGGTGGCGTAAGGAGGTGGGGTGAAATAGATGTGAAACAGTTTTGACAAGTGCTTAAAAGGAAGAACAAGCTGCAGCTGACAGCAGCAGAGAGTTCAGTAATGGAGCCTCAGGAGATCCGAGAGGGATACTTGGTGAAAAAGGTAAAATATCTGCAAAATATTACTTATCTAAATTCCTTAACAAATCTGTAACTAACTCATTTTTTTACAAATGTGGTTTAATTTCCTTAAACATTAAAGAAAAAATCTAACACAACTGGCAATCTAATTCATCACTAACACATATGTATATATTCAGAAATCCAAAATATACTGTACCTAAAATGGTTTGTTGTGTTGCACAAAAATTGCAACTTAAAATGCAGAATGTATCATTTGTATATTCAAACATCCCACGTATACATTTTCAAGCTAGGATATGAGCGCTGTAATGAAAACAAACCAAAAAAGCAATATATAAAACCAGCAAACTGGACAAAGTGAAAGAGCAACAGGTGGTAGAGTTTCACATTAAAACCAGCATTTAGCTCGAGGAACAGATGTCCCAGAGTTGTGTCACTGATGATCATTTCTGTTCCAGAGCTGAAACACAAACACAAGTTCCTTCTCAAAACTGAGACACATGAAATGGTGTGTTTTTGTTTGAAGCTTGATTCTCGCAGTGTCACCCAGATACGAATCCTCTCGTGACCTCAGACTGCAATATGTTTAAATACGGCAAAACCCAGAAAAATGTTCCAGTTGCACGACTGAGACGCACACAATTAATGGCGTTTCTCACATGCAAATGAGACTTGTTTTCCTTATATTTGCAGTTTGAATGTGACTTTTACTCCTTCTGACAACCCACACACACTTCTTTACTTCTACACTGAGCAAAGTGTGAATTTTACTAACTAAAGTTAAAATGTGTCAATCACAGGTGGAGGGACTGTTTCTGTGTGCTCAAGTTCCTCTTTTGTTTACATCGGGTGATAAAAATGTATTTCCCTCTTTGCCTACATGCTTTCACCATACGTATGCTTCATTACTGTTGCAATTCTTGTGCAGGAGGAAAATTAAAACATCCTAATTTGTTTTATGAAAACATTCATGATGGAGAGGAAAATGGCCAAACACTTGTTTTAGTGTTACAATTAAATTAAAGTATTCTATCATTTCTTCTAATTTGAACAAGCGATCTTCATCCAAACTCTACACAACAGTTAAATAGCACATTTCTGGATGGGTTTAAAGTGCTTTCTTGTACAAAAAAATATAAAAAATGATTTTTTTTTTCCCTTTTTCTTTTTTCTTTTTTTCTTTCTTTCATTTTTTTTTTGTTAATATGCCAGCAAACCCTTCACAAATGTAAACGAGAATCATATTGACTCACAGATTTCTTTATGTCAGTGTGTGAAAGACTAGATAAGAACATCTGTTCCTTTTATTGAGCTTTTTGATAGAGAAAACAACAAACTGTACCAAAAATATTGCTATTGACCGAATGGCTTTACTTTTGGCTTGACATCTTAAAGCATTTTATTCTGGAGCCAAATAAATCAGTTCCTGCATTATCTGTGGGTTAACTGATCAAATGTGTCTGCATGTGTGCGCAGCAGTGCATCGGCAATCTTTTCATCAGATTTACTGCAAACTGTTCTTAGAAAACTCTGTAGAAATGAGCTACAATGCTGAGATAGTTGTTTGAATATTTACAGCTATATTTATCACAGGAAACAAACGACTAAAACATGCCTCAGGGTTTTAATTTGTGACTTTTCCTCCAAAAAAAAATAGCAAATGAGGGCAGAAGAAAACTTCAGACCTGCAATATTTGATTCCGTGCCAAAACTAAAAACAAGCCCAGTTATGTTAAAAAAGGGATTTGTCAAGAAGATGATAATTTATTCTTCCTGCCTAATTTACCAGAACAGTGTTGCTGACAGATGATCTCTTTTCCAGTAAGGCTACATTCATTTTTTTAATCCGCCCATAAACAAAATTGTGTTTTTAATGACGAACACGGCTACTTAATCATGACTTTTTTAGTTTAGCAACTCAAACCTAGCTCATAACCACAAAGTTATAGTGAACAAGACAACATTTTTTTTGAATGTTATTGTTAGGAAACACTTAGGCTGTGGTCCTTTAATCATTGCCTCCACCCTTTGTTTGCACAGATGCATGCCTTGCTCATGGTTACTTCATCATTTTCAACACACCTCTGTGACCTTTCTGTAAAAGGGTTCCCCAAGCCATTTCCAGGGCAAGAACTGTGAATAGCATTTTCACAGTTAGAAATGTGACAGTATTTTTTCTGATTTTTTCTTTATTTTATTTCACTTTTCAAAGAAGGAGAAAGAACAAGAGAACAGAGAGCAAACAAGCTTAGCGAAAACAAAGTTAAGCAAAAAAGCAGGCGTGAATCAAAGAGTTCGGTTGAATCCCAACACACAGCTGCTACAAAACAAACCAAAACTCCAGCACTTTTGCTCAAGGCTGCCTGTTGTCTTATCGATCCTCAGGGTACAGTATTAAGCTCCTGGAACGCAGTGTGGGTGGTGCTGTCAGACGATGGCTTGGAATTCTATAAAAAGAAAACAGACCGTTCTCCGAAAGGAATGATCCCGCTGAAGGGAGCCACACTCATCAGCCCCTGTCAGGATTTCAGCAAGAGAACGGTAAGAAAATGTCAAGCGCACCTCTCAAGTATAATTGAGAACAAGCACACTGGGATTAGAGCAGTGAAAGCAATCATTGCAGCAGATAATGTGAGAATTAAAATGCAGAATTAAAAGATCTGATTACACTGGGACAGCTGCTGTAGTTCTTTTTCTTCAAAATTACCATCTGTCTTGATGTTGATTTTTCTTATCTCTGAAGTGTGTGTGTGTGTGTGTGGGGGGGGGGGGAAATCTCAGGAGTGAATAAAGGCAAAGTGTAACTGACTTGACTGAATGCTTGATTTAGCTGGTCTTCAAGATCACCACAGAGAAAAAACAAGACCATTTCTTCCAAGCGTCACACATAGAGGAGAGAGAGTTCTGGGTCAAGGACATCAAGAGAGCCATTAGCTGCCTGAAGGATGGGAAGAAGTTTGCCAGGAAGTCCACGAGGCGCTCCATCCGCCTTCCTGAAACAGTCAACCTCACGTATGTTCCAAGAAATCTTGTCTTGCAGCAGTAATTCTTCTTCCCAAGAACTGGAGGGCTTGACCACAAGAGATTTAAATATACAAGTAGTTTGTGTTTCTCTTTATTAGTGTTTTCTTTTTCTTCGTTTTTTGTCTACAGTTTGAAAAATGTCTACTTAAGATGAGGTTCAGTTTCTTGCGGTCATTGATGGAAAAGTAATGAAAAAGTAATGTCGATTGTGCTTACACTGTGTTTCCTCAGTGAGCTGTACATGCTGATGAAAGACCAGGACGATGGAGTGAAAGAGCTCAAACTGGAGCAAGATAATCGAGTTTTCAACTACTGCTTCACAGGTACACCACAACAATAGTTACCACAGGTGCAGACAGGACTTTTCTTTCTTTTTATTATTATTATTTTGACACTTTTTTTACGTTTTCACTTCTTCTTTACCTATTTTCCTAATTCATTAAACACAGGTGAGACAGTAGTGGAGTGGCTGGTTTCAAAAGGGAAAGCGAGAAACAGCCCCGAGGCCCTCATGCTGGCGACAGGTCTTCTGAACGAAGGTTTTCTCCAGCCTGCAGGCGACATGTCGAAAGAGGGAGCAGAGGCCGCAGAGAAAACAGCCTTCCTAGACGACACGAAAGCACTTTACTACTTTGTGAGTAAAACACACACACACACAAACGACATCCAAGGCCTTACATTTATTGAAGCAACTCATTTCACCTGCTGCTTTTTATGCCAGGGTTTAAACCTAAAATCATCTTTTGTACAGAAATAACAGAGTTGCTGCCATTTTGGGCAAACCTCAAAAAGTGGTGTTTAACGCAATCTTATGCGATGTCACAGGATGTCACCGCACACTAAGGCAACATATGAGTATGTGCTCTGAATGACTTGGCTATTGCAGCATCAAATTTAAATATATCTGAGTCATTTTGGTGTTTTCCACAATCTGCACTTTTAATTTGTTTGATTCTAAATAGTTTTGTTCATGTTTGTACAAGTTTCATTGAAAATGGTTCAATGTTTCTCGACGTAAAACACTTCTCTTTTCACCTGTGACTGATACATATGTTGCTTTTTTATAATTAGTTTCGCACAAATTAACAAAGCAAGAAGATTTAGAGTTTTTAAAAAAAAATCTAAAAAAAACAAATGTCATGGACACATTTTGGATTCTATATTTGTTAAAATTTGCTTCTTTCAGGCAGATAGTGGCTTCTTCTGTGAAGGATACTCCAGCGATGAAGATGCACTCGTGAAAGAAGAATTCAGAGGAAATGTCGTAAAACAGGGCTGTTTACTTAAGCAGGTGAAAAAAAAATATTGGAAAAAAATCATGTTTGCATGTGTCAAAAAGTGTCACATTTTCACGTTCACTTCTCACAGAATTAGAGTTGGGTTTCACCATGTTAAAATAGATGATGTTTTTTTATTTTTATTTTTTTTTTATTTTTATTCTTTTACACAGGGACACAGAAGAAAAAACTGGAAGGTGCGGAAGTTTATTTTGAGAGACGACCCTGCTTATTTACATTATTATGACCCTTCAAAGGTAAATCTACTGCTTTTGAGCTAACTCTGTCTTTTAAACAATATAAATAAAACTCATTTGTTTGCCTCTTGTATTGATGTCAGGGTGATGATCCCCTGGGATCCATTCATCTCCGTGGGGCTGTGGTTACAGCAGTAGAGTTTGTGCCTGATGGTGAGTGAAACTGTGAGAACGGGATACACATGCTGCTTTCCTGCTGTCAAATAATAACAACCAAAATAGCAGCAGATAGATGGTTTCTTTTGCATGTGAATCTAATTCACACCTTCATGCATGTGACCAAGAGACATGTAACCTTTTGTGCATGAGTTTCGGTTGCACAATTGTTTCAAATGATGTGTAAAAGCTCAGAATTCCACATTCTTGTTTAGAACTAAGAAAGCTCCACAGATGGGAGACGAAATGTGTTCAACAGGAGAATGAAAGTCCAGTTGTTGTTGTTTTTACCTTCTTTTTGATTTTACCACATCCTGCGTGGCTGAGAACCAACACCAGCATACAGAAATTGCTGTGCTGTCAATAAAAATTCAAAGAAGCCCCTTTACCTTTTTTTTTCCCTTTTCTCTTTTACAGCCAAAAAGTACGACATTGATGGCAACCTCTTTGAGATCATCACCGCAGATGAGACTCACTACTTCCTCCAAGCTGCAACAGCTGAAGAAAGAAAGGAGTGGATCAAAGTGATACAGGCAGTGTCAAACAGTGGAAAATAACCGAAAGCTGTAGAGCGGAGGTGGGGGGAGGGGGTGGGGGAGGTGTACAGCTGCCAGCTGCAGTTTTAACAAAGTCTAAGTACTACCAAACAATTGTTCTGTTCTCTTTAATTGTATAGTGACTGTCAGGTTTCTCTGTTGCACCGTATCTCACTGTGGATGTTTCTGCACAATGTGTATAATAATAAACAAAAGGTCACATGTCTGTAATAATAGAAAAGACTCTGCAATTAAAATTCAGCAAGGTCCACCTATTTTATTTTTTCCTTATAGAGTACTGTATACTGTGCATATTATAAAGTTTAATTCCCTTGTAGCTACAGTAATGCTTTTTTTTTCATTCATCATTTTATGTTTTTTAGGCCTCCATAAGTAGGTAGAATAACAGAGAAAAACCAAGAGCCAGATATGGGAATTACCGTAATTGATAGAAAAGCGGTAACAACTAAAAAAAAAAAAAAAAAAATGCTGCAAATATGAGAAAAGCTGTGCTGTCATAAAAAATGACTGTAAGGGGTCATTATTTTTATATTTTTGTCCCAGAATCTCTCAAGGACTATTAAGAGTTTACCAAATTTAGAAAGAAGTATTTATGTCTCACTTAGAAAACGGCTTCAAAATGCGCCAATGACGGGGGGATGTGTGGGAAGAAGACACTCAGTTCTGTAGCTTATGTGGTTTTCTGATTTCCTCTTTGTCCACTCGCCTTCCAAAAACCCGAGATAATCACCACTATCACAAAAACACACTCAGTTCTTCTGACGCTACATCACATTCTGCCTTTGACGTTTCGCAGTCACTTTGTGGTATGAAGTGCGACAGTTTATCAGCCACTGAAATGACTGGTTTGACTGACAGCATGACTATGTGGAAAAAGTCTGTCACAGAGATGACACGCATGACGTGACAACTAATGTAAAAATGACTTTAGTTTGTCTATTTTTCACACTTTTGTAAATGAGTCCCACTTCTTTGTCTGGCTGAGAGAAAATAAAGTGTAATTTAAAAGTTTTGCAATCCTCAATGAATTACATACAGCCAATGACATTTAGGTGACTACAAAAAAACATAAAGTCATTAAAATCTGAGTTTAAATTAGCCAGTATAGTCCCCAAAGGTCTCAAATAGAGGTGTCCTTGTAGTAGTTCTTCTGGTGGATGGTTTTTCTTCACAAAGATGGCTTCCTTTACTCCTCTCTCAAACCAATTTTCCTCTCTATCAAGTTTGAGAACATCTTCATCCCTGAAAGAGTGACCACTGGCCTGTAGATGAGTGTAAACTGCAGAGTCCTGGCCTGTAGATGAGTGTAAACTGCAGAGTCCTGGCCTGGCCTGTAGATGAGTGTAAACTGCAGAGTCCTGGCCTGATGATGAGTGTAAACTGCAGAGTCCTGGCCTGATGATGTAGCTTGTCTGTGCTGGCTCATTCTTTTGAACGGTGGCTGTTTTGTTTCCCCAATGTACAGTATGACTCATCACAGTCCTGCTGACACTTAACAGTATTAACAATAACTCTGTTTTTGCCAGGGACTGGATCTTTGGGGTGAACCTTCTTTGTTTTCTTTAATGTGTTTTGGGGTTTGAAAGCCACTGGGATGTCATGTTTAGAGAATAAAAATGGCTCCTGGGTTTGTGGGGATCCTGTCTGCTTGGTGGTGGCCAACAGAGTCCTGATGACTCCTAACTTGTGTTCCAGTGGGTGATGAGAGTCGAAACATAAATACTGGTCTGTGTGGGTGGGTTTGCGATACACGTCCGTTTCCAACCATCCTCCATCAGAAACTGAGACATCACAGTTCAGAAATGCCAACCTGCCATTTTTTACATTTTTCGTGTGAACTTTATGTATTCATCCACAGAGTTGATGTGATTAGTGAAATGTTGGACTTCCTGGGATTTAATTTTAACCCAGGTGTCGTCAACATACCTGAACCAATGGCTCGGTGGTGTCCCTGTAAAGGACATCAAGGCTCTCTTTTCCTCCTCCTCCATGTACAGGTTTATAACAATAGGGGAAACTGGGATCCCATAGCATGTCTATAGTATTGCCCCCCATATGTGACGTATGTTGACTCCAGGCACAGTTTCAGAAGTTGACATGGTTGTTCAGTGGAAAGAATGGTTCTGCTACTGAGAGTGGTGTCTGATTTTAATCGTATACAGACCACATCCAATGCCTTATCAACAAGAACACATGTAAAGAGTGATGTGACATCAAAAGAGACCATAGTTTCATCTGAGTTCACCTGAAACACTCAGACTGAAGAAATCTCTTGGAGGAGAGATGAAATGTTTCATTAAAGAAGAGCCCATCCAGAGGACCTACTTTTTTTTTTTCTTTTTGACACAGTGGAAAATATTTTCTTCTTTTGGAACCCCAAGTAATTTGACTTTTATCTTGCAATACTGAAACTTTCAAGGTATACATGCATTTTATTTCTAATTGTTTATGTTTTACTCTCTTTGCATTCTGATAATATTCATTGCTTTAGGAGATGTGGACATTCAGTGCTCAATGGCACAGTCTCAAAATGTGAGTAATATGTTCTTGAACAGAGTTCCAACAACTGACAACTAATAATAATAAATTTACACAGATCTGTTTTGATATAAACTGGAATCCAATCAAAATTGATTAAATTCTTCTGCAGATGTTAAATTTAGCCACAAATACACTGTGGTTTTTTTTGCCATGAAGCAGTTTATCACCAGTGAGCCATGTTTAATCACACCACTGTCCTTCTCCTCTCAGAGGAGTGGACACAGAAATCCCACCTTATTTCTCACAAAGCCGTTTATTTCTTTCCTCCGCCTGCTCCTGGGTTCTGACTAATAAACCACACAGTTAGTGTTTGTTGTTCCTGTAATTACTAATGTAAAACAAACATCAGCTGAAAGGTTAAACCTCTCATAAAACTAAAACAATATTTATTGGACTGCAAAGTCTGTGGCAACGTACAAGTTGGTGCGCCACCTGTAAAAACACTGATGTTTGCAGGAATAACGTTTTCCAATCATATTTGATTTGAATATTGGTGTTTACAAAACCACCACAAGGAGGGAAAAGCCAATCAAATCAGACTTCCTGTCAATTTCTTTCCACACCAAGTGCACATTTTTAACACTAGAGGGTACTACATACAAACCAATAACTATTGCTTTATTTCAATATACTGTAAGTCTAACTATGGCACAGTTTACCTGCTAAAGTTAAGTAACCTAAACACGTGCAGTAAAATGATGGAAGGTTGTGGTTCATTACCCACATATAGCCCCTGGTGTTTTTGTATCTGTATTTTCTTTACAAAGCAACAATACATTTCTTTAAATAACCAAGCTCAACACAATCAAACTACTGATGGTTCCTTGTGTTATGCAATAAATAACTGATTTTAATTAGCTTAAGTGTCTTTTTATGAACAGTCTAATTTTGAATTTAGTCTGAGTGCTTTTGATTACTTGCATCCAGCTCTGTAAAGAGGCCATTGTTGCTGTGTTCAGATAAACGACTCAGAGTCATAAACTTGTTTTAAATGCAATCAATAAACTGAACAAATAGAGAAAAACAAACAAAAACACACCATTAAATAACTCTATTTATTTTACCCACACACCAACATACAACAATCAATATGAAGAATATATCTAAACAGGTAATATA